AGCTGATACTGATATCAGAAATAAAGGAAAGAAAAGTTCTTACTGGCAAGTGGGTCTTCTGTGTCAAGGCAAATGCAGATGGATCGTTTGAGAAATTCAAGGCGCGATGGGTCGTTCGCAGGTTCGAGCAGACTTTCGGTCTTGACTACGAACTCACCTTTGCTCCCGTCGGTCGACATACAGTGGCGGATTAAATTGTCCACATGTTCTGCCTTTTTTGGCATTTTAATGAGTGCAGCGGCGTATGCATTAAGCCTTAATGTATGGTGTGCATTCACGCTGAGAAGTTCAGTTAGAGCACTCACTCGAGTTGACAAACACCAAAGTAGTACCACACATGGTCCTTAAACACCTAAGCATGGCATAGGAGAACATGTGGACAATTTGTACTAGAAAAAGGTATCATACTAGATTCTAGGAAAACTAGTACCTAGTCCAGCGTCCCTTTGCCCGAATCACTGCCTTGATCCTCCTCGGCAGGCTGTCGATCAGGTTTGCACACACCTCCGGCGGTATCTTGTCCCATTCCTCCTGCACCCTCTCCCACAGCTCCAGCATTCCACTTGGCGGCTTTTCGTCCTTCCCCAGCTGCCTTTTCAAGTGTGCCCACAGGTGCTCAATCGGGTTAAGGTCCGGGGAGCACGACGGCCATTCCAGCACCGCGTACTCCTGCTCCCCAAGCCAGTCTTGGACCAGACGAGACCTGTGCTTGGGATCATTGTCGTGCTGGAAAATGACCTCTGAGGGGGAAAGCTCGAAAAAATCGATGGTCTGTTTGAGCTCATCTTGCAAGATGCTGCGATACAGCGGCCCATCCATCCTGCCAACTATCTTGCACATGAACCCCTCCCCCTCATACGTCATGCAACCCCACACCATCACAGAACCGCCCCCATGCTTAACTGTCTGTTGGACTTGGTGGCTCCGAAGGCTGGTGCCCTCGTGAATCCAGGCGTACGCACGTCCGTCGGAGCAGTAGCGGTTTATCTTCGTCTCGTCAGACCAAATCACCCGCCTCCAGTCCTCCAGCGTCCAGTCGGCATGCGCCCGCGCGAAGTCGAGACGATCTCGGATGTTTTTCGGTGAGAGCCTGGGTTTCTTGGGCTGATGCACGGCGATCAGCCCCGCGGATCGTAATGAGTTCCGGACCGTCTTCGAGTCTACGGCGAGATCGTGCTTCTCCAACAACATCTTGGCCGCGTCTACAGAGCTTTTCGCCTCGCCGCTTGTAATCGCGCGTATTACTCCGCGCTGGAGACGGGTAGTGATTAAGCGGGGGCGGCCGGCCGAAGGCATCGTAGGTCGCACCTCCTCGCGACTAGTCTCGGAAGCGAGTTTCAAACCGTAATCGTGCACGGTGCTCTTGCCTATGCCAAGAACTTTCCCTATTTTCCTAGTCGAATGCCCCGCACGCAACATGCTTATGATCCTCGCGCGCTTCCTCTCATTTAACGGCTTCATAGCGATGCGGTCGTAGGCTCGCTTCCGGACTAACTCCTAAGCCAGCAACTGGTGCGCGTGACGATGTACACACCGAGTGACGGGGGAAAATAGATCTACTCTTCCGCTCGGTAGGAAATGTCCACATCGATAGTCGAGGAGTAAATTTCAACCCCACTTTCCGTTTGTGTCACAATCGCGCCAAGCAAGAAACGGATGAAGCAGAACTCAAAAACATTGTAACAGAATGGCAAAAAACGGGTGTTACTATTTTCGAAACATGTGTGGCATAACGATACGTTCCAAAGTGTTAAACATCCGGGCAATTTAATCCGCCACTGTACGAGTGTTCGAATCCAACTCTTTGTCGCCGCTTGCCGCAACCTACGTCTTCGCCAAATCGATGTGGCGAATGATTTTCTCTACGCACCCGTCGACGCGCTCATTATGGTAGAGTACCCACACTCGTACACTACTAAATTCACAGCTTCTCACTGCCGGCTTTCGTCAACTACCGCATGATCAAGGGATGTACCTTCTAACTGCTGGAAGCGACTACATTCTACTCGTCGCATATGTCGACGACATTCTCTACGTCAGCACGACTGAATCACTCGCCAACATCTTCATACAGAAACTACGCCGTCCTGAAGGGGAGTATCAACTTGATCTCCTACATGCGCTTCAATATTTCATATCGACTCCTGACGTCGGTTTGGTCTACAATGTCATCGGCTGTAAAACACTATATCTAAACGGTTTTGTTGACGCTGTTCACGCTGCCGACACTACTAATCGTTGCTCGCGTACTGGATTTATCTACCGCCTCGAACCTGTCGGGCCTATTTCTTGGAATTCGACGAAGCAAGAGATGATTGCTCTCTCCTCTGCTGAAGCTGAATTTATCGCTGTCTGCACAACAACACGTGAAGGACTTTACCTGTAGGAACTTTTGGAAGAGGCAAAATTGACGACGAGTACTCAGTTTACTTTGCAGTGCGATAACCAGAGTGCAATTCGCATCCCGCACCAGCCCGGGTTCGTCAACAGGACGAAAAACATTTCACTGCGTTACTTTTTCGTCAAGGATGAAGTTGAGAAGGGAAGGATGCGATTGGTCTACTGTTCGACCAACGAAATGGCTTCAGATTTCCTCACGAAGAAACTGACACGACAAAAGTTTCAGTACTGTAACGAACTTTGTGGGATCTTCAAGAAGTGACACTATCGGACTTCCTGAAATGAAGGGGAGTGTTGTGATATGATTCATAATTAGCATTTCTGTAAGTCGATTATCGATAGATAGTGTCGAATCCTACCGTAGAAGAGAAGTCTGTAGGATGACGTCACCAAATAGCGATCGTCATGAGGATAGTCGTTTCAGTCACGCGAATAGTCGCGTCTCTTCAGTATCGTTTAGGGCGCATAGCGCGATAGTATCGAACAGGTACATTAGCGAACAGGTACTTCTGTTAGGTATAAAAGTAGCTTGTCTTCATTGTTTAGTTAATTTGTTCTTAAGTAAATTCTGGGCAACACTCTGCACCTGTGGCCCTTCCCCGAGGATCTTCTCAAGGGTAACCCCAGCGGGTCACTCGACACCCTCGCCACTGGCCCCGTGTCCCACTGGCCCCCCCGCCCAACAACCCTTCGCCTGCTGGCCCCGCGCCCACCAGCCCTGTGCCTGCTGGCCCCGCGCCCGCCAGCCCTGCGCCTGCTAGCCCCGCGCCCGCCAGCCCCGCGCCTGCTGGCCCCGTGCCCGCCAGCCCTGCGCCAGCTGGCCCCGCGCCCGCCAGCCCTGCGCCTGCTGGCCCCGCGCTCGCTAACCCTGCGCCCGTTGGCCCCGTGCCCACCAGCCCCGCGCCTGCTGGCCCTGCGGCTGCCCGCCCCATGCCTGCTGGTCCCGTGCCCACCTGCCCTGCGCCTGCCCGCCGCACGCCTGCTGGTCCTGTGCCCACCTGCCCCGCGCCAGCTGGCCCCGACTTCGCCGGCCCCACGCTAGGTCGCCCCGTGCCTGCCAGCCTTGCGCCCACCAGCCCCAGCTCCGTCGATCACAGCTCCACCGATCGCAGCTCCGCCGATCGCAGCTCTGCCAATCCCAGCCCCCCCTGGCCCTTGCTACCGCCGAGCCGTGCTAACACGCCGGCAGGCTCCACCGCTCTCCACTGCACTCCACCGTCCTCCGCCACGTTCCTCCTCCCCCCGCGTCAGTGGCAGTCAGCTGCTACAGCCGTGATGATGGCGGAATCCGTGTTCCGCCTAAACGCGGAGAGTAGGGCCATTGATTTTGAGGCGTGGCTCGTCGACCTCCGCCGCCAGCTGACCGGTCAGCGCCAGGACGGCCACTCCCTGGCCGTCCATGTTGACGGTCAGCTCCCCTGCCCCGCCACACCCGCTGTCCTTCCTGACGCCCCCACGACTGCTAAGTGTAAGGCCTTTGTTGCTGCTGAGCGTGCTCGCGCTGTCTTGGAGTCGCGCGACGCCATTGCACAGCTTGCCATTAGTGCCGCCCTCCCCCTATTTGAGCGTCCCCACTTTACCGCTGTAGCAAATGCAAAGGAGCACTTAGATGCCATCATTGTACGCAATTCCACT